CATCATACCACATACTGGCGCACTTTCCAGTCCGAGCGTGTGCCCGAACTTGCAAACCTTGGGGAGTTGGACTTGACTCCACCGAGCATTACTGCCTTTACGACATTCGGCCTTCAGCTCGTTGCTGTACTGCTGAGCCGGAATCCACGGTTCATCTTCGGAAGGCGAGAGCTGTGGGTCTACGGGCATGGCGAGAGAAGGGGAGCAAGATTACAGGACGAGTGGATATCACCAGACAGACCGGGGGGAAAGAGGCGACGCCAGTAGGAGAAGGTCGGATTATCTACGACGGCCATTTTCATAAAGCGGAGCCGACACAAGGTACGATCCTTTCGGGGTGAAAGGTCCAGCCGTGATCTGACCCGGTCCGGTACTGCGCAGGGAGCTGATGCGGTTCTGATAAGTTCAACCACATCGGTATGTCCCGAAGTGCACCCCGGCGACATAAGAACCCGTTCTGAGCGAATTGGACACTGCTTTTAGCCTTTACCGGCGCACGATTTTTGACCAGCTAGTACTTGAGCCCCAGTGAGAACACCCTCGGATCCGGGAGGATGAACGAGGAGTTAGCAGGATATCCGATGCGCTCCGCTGCGCGAGGCCGGCATCCGAATAATTCCAAAAATCAGATGCCTCATTCGGATTCACGCGGAGCTGAGCTGCGCGCGTAATCGAATGCTCAAGCTTGAGCTCTCCACTTATCTCTGGTACCTCGACATGATCGCGTCATCGCCGACCATCAAGCCTCGACCGACGTCCGGGCCTCTCCGTCATCGCGTGGGCTCCGCACCCGGGGGCCCAAACCATCCGCCCTGGCGGGTTTGCGCATCCCCGACGACCGCTACATCTGCCGTCGACGGCGAGCTCTGCAGCAGCGCTTCTCTCCTCTCGTGCCATGTCGACAGTCGAAACTTTTTCGTAGGACTATTAACACATCCCCTCCACCACCAGACGCGGATAAAGCTCTCGAAACGCCTGCATGTTGATACTAGGGGATTTGGGTCGCTGTGCAGTCAGGATCTTTCTGCCCGAAAGATCAGCATGTAGACGGACCTATTTCCACAGAATATAAGATTCTCGGACTCCAACGCTGCCCAGTACGCCACCTGACCCTGTTCGAATATCGCCTTCGTCTCGTGCCATCCAGCAACACGCCGACAATTCTTATGATGAGCCGCAGCCGTTGCCTTCGTCCATCGAGAGACGCCTTCGCGCTTGATGAGGAAGCTTTCGGCGGTTTCGACGGCTTGTTGGAGCATATCGCAGACCTCGTTCATGATGCTAATGGGACCCCATGCATACTTGTGGAGCTCATGTTCTCGGTCGTCGGGGTCAATCCATCGGAGAGGGTGATCGGTTTGTAGCCTCAGGATCTTATGGTATATGCAAAAGGGCACGTCCCATTCTTGGTTACCCCAGTTGCCGTAGTCGTCCTCGGGGTCTCGGGTGAATGGTATCGTTGCGATGGGGCAAGGTGTGTAAAACCTAAAAATATATTGGACTCAATTAAACACCGTGAAAGAGACAGGATAAAAAAAGGAATGGGAAAGATGCAGGAAACGTACGGCTCTTTCACACCCCTCTTGGCTAAGTACGCCCTCCAGTTTTCTCTGGCATGTTTCTTCATCGGAGGTCTAAGGCGATGGGGGATAAATGAGGACGATGACGGGCATAATAGTGGCCAAATTATTACATACCGGCCTCTCCATAGCTCAACCGGGCTTCTCTCGTCCATGTTCAAGATGTCCAGATCTGGGTCGTCCTCTGCCGCAACTTTCGTGTGTATGGGACAGTTGTCGGAGGTGTCGACTTTGGGCTGGGGGTTTCCGGCAGCTGCGTCATGCAATGCGAGCACAGTGGCCTGAATAGTCGGGAAGTCACCAAGGTAGGGATGAGGTGGTTTTTTGCTCATCGTGAAAAGCAATAAGAAGAGGACACAAGTCGCGGCAGGGAGTAGAGGGTACCTCGGACTTCGTCAGCCTGAGCGGATGACTCGATGAATGAGTGCGTGTTACGGAGAAAGACACTGGTCACATGTCACGTTTGGAGTCGACATGCGTTGCGCTGAGCGCTTGCCAAAGCCGTCGCTGGCAGCGACGAATAGCAAGGAGAAAGGCTATTTCAAATCCTGTCCTTCAGGGGCCCGATCGTGAATAAACAAATATCAGAAGAAGTGATAAGCACGACCTACGGTCAACACCCCTCGCGAGTCCACTCGATCATCCCACCCCAACTATCGCACTCCCTGATATCCCTCAGACGATGCTGACGCCGGATTTCAAGACTTTCGCTCTCATGCGCGACGAACTTGCAAGAGTACGTCGTCTGGCGGCGCAGTCGACTGGCCCTCCGAGGACACCCGTCCCGGTACGTCCTCCTTTGTTAGCGTGCTGAAACCTCGGGGACCGCTGACTGTGTGTGTTAGGGCATTGATCCCCAGAGAAATTTCATCTCTCGGCTGCCCGTAGAGGTGCTCACCAACATCTTGAAGGCGACCAGGCTTACATGGCCGGGGCCTAAAATCAGCTGTGGCCCGGGTTGTTGGCTGCTCTGTCGAGAAGTCGATCCACTGTGGCTCGAGATTATCGACAATCTGGCGTGGTTTTGGGGGATGTTCGACGATAGGAACGGCCAACGATTCCTGACAATGGTGATCGAGCGATCGGGGCACGGGAACATGAAGTTGAAGGACATCTGCATTGGCCGTGATGCCTACTTGGGCGGCGTCATGAGGGACCTAGTGTCATCGAACTCGGAGAGGATTGAGGAGCTGTCCTTTCGTGCAGACTACGAGGAGGAGTGCAATGAGGTGATGTCGAGGACGTTCAATCGGCTGCGAAGTTTTGGGGCATATCATGCGAATGGTGGAGACTACTGGGGGTCGACGAGCGCGCTGGAGCTCAAGGCGCTGGACTGGTTGACGCGAAGGAGGGAGGAGTTTGAGGAGTTGAGGTTACGAAGGGTGTTGATTCCGATGGAATTGGTGAGGACGGCGGTCAACCTACGCCGCCTGAGCTTGTTCGGAGTAGGTCGGGATCTCGCCGAGGACGGCGCACTTCGTTTGGACATTGCTGGGTTGTGTCTCATGGGAAGGTCCTTGTTGGGGTTGGAGGAATGGGAGATTGGAGGAGAGGTGGAGCTGGACAACGTCAGCAGGGAGAAGGTGGTAGAGCTGAGGGCCCTTCGGAGGTTCCGTCTGGAAAACGTGAAAGCGAGGGTCGTTCGGGTCATGATGACTGCACTGTCATTTCCAGCGGTGGAGCTTCTGCAGATAGGAGGCGTTGGAGATGAGGTCGACACGGTGGATGCGTTGATGTCGGTGAGGGATGTCGTCAGGGCGTGGCACTTGGGCGTGGGTCATATGGAATTAGGGGAGGAGTGGGTAGGGGATGAGGCTAGGTTGCAGGTGGATTACGAGGTGGGAAGGTGCGAGATGAGGTGGAGGGCGGAAGGAGACATCGGTATGGTCAAGGTTGGGGCCCTTCTGGTGTCCTGTCTGGGTGTCGCGAACGTGGTCACTCTGACTTTGCCGAGTTGTCCACACACGACCGCCGGGGCGAAGGACGAGTGGACGGAACTATGTAAGGTGACAGGGAACATGGAGTGTGTTAGGGTCGATTACGGGGGTAAAATGCTGGAGGTTATCTGGGACAACTTGGCTCACTCTCTGCTGGAGGACACGGCGAAGACAGGACCAGGGGAGACCTTGCCATGGCCCAAGTTGGAGACACTCAAGATCGCCGGGGTTTTGACGGATGAGAGTGTGGAGAAATGGTTGGATTGGCTGGATTTGAGGGTACTGAGAGGTCATAGATTGGAGAATTTGGATGTATTGGGGAGCATATCCGGAGCGAATGCCTCTGATTCGTCACGGATCTCTCCTCCTGGATGGGGCATGGATCCCGGGTATTGGTCTCCTGAATGGGGTGTGGCTATGGACCCCTTTGTAGAGGAAGCATGGGAAGACCGTTTCAGAGCGGTGGCAAAGGTCTCCGTGTGGAGTACGCCACCTCACCCCTGGCGGACTCGATAGTGTAGTGTTGTGAAAAATGATGGGATTCCGTTTACGTAGGGAATGTAACTCATGGACGTTGACGGAATGGGGAGGACAACGATACCCAGTGTATGGAACACGGGGCGTTACGAGGTGTGGACCCGCGGCGGGGTTATGACTTTGTCAAACTAAGATTTGACGAATTGGGATCTCTGGGGCGCACCTGTGAACGAAGCGACGAGGTTTCGCTACCTGCTGCATACATATATCACGTTTAAGCACTCTCAAGCGAGATGTCCCAAGAACAAGTTGACTAGTCTGAGAGTTCTAAGTATTCAACGATGCCCACACGAGATCGCCAGGTAGCATCATGTACAGTGCGTCTCAATGCTCCCTGGTATAGACTAGTTCAAGAAAACGACTGAACGCTAAACAATCTCTAGAACCTTTTGTCGCGAAGTTCTTGGTTCAGTCTCTCAACCTCGCGTCGGATCCCGATTGAGGCTCGTTGCTGACCGCCACGCCTCAGTTTGCGGCAATCCCCGGCCAGGCCTGGTCGCAGGCATTTGATATTCAACCTTCGGCAATCCCCGGCAAGGCCTGGTCGCAGGCATTTGATATCCAATTTGTGGCGCTGAAATTGATGTGGCGAAGCCAAGTTCACCGCGATGGCCCACGAAAGACGGTGAGCAGCTTCGCTCTCTCCTTGCTCCCTTCTCTCATCTGGACGTCTGAATCCTCTAAACTCTCCCTATCTAACCGATGGCCATGCAAGAACTCACCTTCGCTAAAGCTAATCTGGTTGCTGTTGAGCGGCGGGTTGCAGAGCTAGAAGCCCAGCTTCGTAGTGCCCACCGGGAAGTTAACGACTTGCGCGCGCAACGAGATGCCGCGCACAAGCAAATCACCGCCTTGCGCTCCCAGTGGAAGGAGCGTACCGATTCGTTGAAAGCAGTGGTGTCAACGATGAACGTGCCGGAACTAAGGGTAAGTTGGACATTGTCGATCTTGCCATTGCATGTCTGTGCTAGGCTAATCATTTGACAGGCCGTAGAGGAAGCGATGGATGTTGAACAGGTAGGCTTCCCCATGCAAAAATCGACATAACGTGACTGAACGGGCATACAGGCTCCCGAAAATGAAGCCATGGACGTTGACCAGGTAGGTTTTCTGATGCAAAAATTCGACACGACGTGACTGAACGGGCATACAGGCTCCGGGAAACGACAGTGACAGGGAGCAGCAGCCGGTGGGTTATCATTGCCGATATGTTTGCCTTACAGCCTCGTTATCGACGAGTCCTTCCATAGGCTCGCAATGAGAATCGCGGCCAACAGCACGTGCAAAGGGGTACAGAGATACCTGGGGTACGATATTCCTTTATTCCTATCTGATGTGGTGTCTCTGACCACGAACCTTCAGCATCACAGCCGAACGCACCAAGATCATACAGAGGTGGTGTGATACAACGTTCCGATATGATGAGAGTACTGATAACAATGCCTCGTAGCACCGTGATACTGTGGATGAGTGGGATAACCTCCAACCCTTTGGACAGACCGAGGAAGTGGTCCCCTTCGAGCGTCCCGAACACAAGAAAGTCCTCGAAGGTGAAATCTGCGCCACAATCAAGCCGTCCATGCTCAAGGGAGCTTCCGACGTCTCTTACCGCGCGTGGCAGGCGTGCTGGGGGCTGGAGACTGTTCGGCCGGACTCTCGTTTGCAGTTTCAGCGGGAGCATCAGGCCCTTGCACCCCAGAATCCGGGAGAACCGGGAGTCGTCTACTTCCTGGGTTGGCTTAAGCAGCCTGGCGCAGGGTCGTTTGCTGTAATGGTCAAAACCAGTAAGGACTCATGGACCTTCTGCGGTCGCTATAAGGCCGAACTCGTCGACGTTTTCAAGCCTCAGGTATGGGATGCAGAGTCTGAAGATGTAAGTCTTTTTTAGGAACCCCTGGCCGCTGAGGTTGACACTGAATATTGATTTTGCCTCGAAGACCAAAATTTCCTGGGCCCGATATTTTGAGGACAAAATCGGGGTCAGGGACCAGCTCGCCTGCGCGCGTGTTCATATCGCTTTGAGAGACCGTGAGGAGCCATCGTGGGAGAAGTGCGAACGTGAAATCGCCCGCCACCACAAGTTTGCGCCGCCGACAGCCGGCGACATCTTACGTGCATGGAAGCACCGCCTGGTGGTGGGTCCATCTCTCCAATCATGCTAGACACCACACTAATCGGTCTCCGGGGTAGCTGCCCCTCGTCTATAGGCTCAAGTGTGTCGAGTGGGATGTCGCGGTGGTGGATCAGCTCCGAGCGTTTTGACCGAAATAGTGTGTAATGATACGGTGACGCTTAGTTTTCTTGCAGTCTTGACAGTACCTTGTAGCAGTGTCGGTGAATGCTTGTACGACTCCACTCGATCTTACGTGTAAAAATATGCCAAATTTGCGATGAACGTCACATTACGAGACCAAAATACGAGAAAGGTGTGAATAAAGATATGAGTACAGATTATCCGAAAGATCCGAGTTCCTCCTGCGTATGTGTGGTGTCACGTCTGCACACGTTCTGGAGCGGCCCGAAGGAACTCCTCTGGAAGCTTGAATGCACGTTTCCCATGCTTTTGGAGGTTGCTCACAGTCATGCGGTTCTTCAAGGTGATGGCCTCGTCCAGAAAGAACTGGTATCTGCTCGTGGTCCGTCAGTACCACGGCTGAGCCCAGAAATACCAACCAACCTTTCTGGTGAAAATTCCCGCACCATTCGCTGAAAGTTGCCAAACCATTTGTTGATCTGCTCAGCTGCAGACGAGTTGAAAATCCACTCCCCATTCGCTGTCACGAGATCCGGATAACACGATGGGTTGCAGTTCCTCTGGCAGTAGTCGTCACTCTCCTTGTGCTTGTGAAGCGCATGAAAGACGTCCACGGGTAGCCCTACGTTGTCGAAATAGTGGTCGTTGGCCTTCTCCAGAGAGGCCAGAAGATGGCAGTTGTTGTCGAAGAACATGTAACATGGCATTGCACCGGGATATTCGGAGGGGAAAGTGTGTTTCAGAAACATCTTGGGGGTGCGTCAACGTTCCTGTATTCCCTGAAATGATGAAAGGTGCAAAGACTACGCACAATGACGCCTAGGACACCTTCTGAACCAAAGAATGTCGCTCTAGCCTTAATCACCCCACAGCAACAGACGTACAATTGTTCGTTATGCGTCCACCGGCGATACGTCCTTCCCTTCATCTCCAAAATGTTTGGGTCAGGCTCGTTTGGAGGTTCCTCTGCCGGGGACGGGTCAAAGTCAACCAGGGGAGTGATGACGGGGTCTCCTGAGGGTCCAGACTGGATATCTGTGGATCCAACGGTCTCGTTAGTGACACGTTTGTATTGACAACGACCATAGCACTTACTGGATGACGTGGTGTCGGGTACCGGCTGTGTATGTTTCTCATGGCGACGCCTAAGTACACGATACGAGGTGCTTCCCGGTAGACGCTGACTCGCCTCCCAACGACGATGATCCACGTTCTTGCACGTCACAAACCCTCGTGTCGTCGACTCCGTGCATCCTTCCACTGCACAAACGTCTGACCGTCCTTTGTGCGTCGGACAAAATCGATCTTTCCCTCTCTCTAGAGGAATCTGACAATTGAGAACAGAGCAGCACGGATGGCCTACTGTAACTCCGTCAGTCACTCCCGCAGACAAGAAGACTGTAGCCCCCATTAGCATCGACGAGGAAGAGACAGAACAAGACGACACTCACCTTCCTTCCCATCGGCGGTTTTGACAGTTTTGAAGCAGTCATCGCATGCGTGATCCCACATCTCTTGGCGCCTGTGTAACATCAACTCATTCCGAGCTTTGAGGGCGCCCTGATACCGACTTTCCTGCTTGCCTCGGTGAGGCAGTTGAAGCGGGGGACCACCGTAAGTAGCCTTATCACGGAGGAGGGCGTGGAGAAAGAATGCGTCGTGAACCGTCTCGTACGTAAGCTCATTCTTCAGAGGAGACTTGACTGGAACTGCAGACGCAGATGGCGCCGTAGCCAACGTATAAACTGTCGCAATATTGGATGCCGAAACCCTGCAAACCGCAAAATCAACGAGGCCGATCTATAACGCGACTTCACTCCGGCGCACTCCGCACTCACTGTGACAGGATCATCTCATTTTCAAAGAACAGGCAGAGGGACCGGTCCACAAAGGCTGACTCGTGAACATGGATTATTTCGGGTACGCCTTTCTCGTAATAACTTCGATCGTAGTATATGCGCACGGAATCTTCGGATTGGGCGTTGTGGACATACCAGTCCGGGTAGTAGCGAGTGAGACAACCTGCAGGATACCTCGTAAGTTAGGAATACCTACTCTGCGTATGCAGGCCCATACCTCGGCAGTAGTAAGACAAAGTGACAGCAGGCAGGACCCCGCGATTCATTGTGAAAAGGCTACACCGTGCCTCCTCTGGATCTGTAAGAGCCCGGTTGTTGTCCGGACATTCTGAGCGGATACATGTACGGATCGGTGGTCGGAATGTGTGCGCGCCTAATCGATCCAGCAAACTATCGTGAGTCTCATATCCTTTTTTATAAACAGGATCCTTTATGCTGACCGAGACCATGTTCATGCCCATGTCGACGAAACATATCGTCGGCCGCTGTTTCCAAATCCACCCCTTCACCCAGAGCATGGAAACGAGGCCGTATCACAGACCAGCATCGCTGAATACAATCAGGATCTGACGCCAGGTTAAGAGACTGGACCAAGAACTTCGCGACAAACGGTTCTAGCGATTGTTTAGCATTGAGAGGTGATCGTAAATGTTGGTCTATCCGTTCCCGCAACCGCCGCAAAAGGACCAAGAGAAGTTGGAATTGGTCGGGAGTCAAGTCTCGGCTAAGCTGAGGATACAGATCCAACAGAGCCATTGGGAAGGTAAGAAGACACCAGCACTGGCCAGTTGCGAAAACAAAGGCATTCGCCCATGTTTCGGAGTTTCAAATGAAGTTGCGCCACAATGATCGAGTTTGAATTTCAAAAACATTGGCGCGACCCCACCGCACTCGCCCATGTACAAATCGAGGCCGTTGGAGAAAAGATGATATTCATTCGCGCCGGTCAGTAAGGTAAGTGTCCTACATATATCTCCCCACGCACACCGAAGAGGGGCATTACGAGGAGCTGACCGGCGGCGGGGCTGTGACTTTGTCGAACCAAGAATTGACCGATTGGGATCTCCGGGGCGTACCTGTGAACGAAGCATTGGCATTTTGCTACCTGCTGCATACGTTTATCACGCTTAAGCAATTCCAAGCGACCTGTTACGAGAACAAGTTGTCTAGTCTGAGATGTCCAAGTATTTATTTGAAACCAATGGGGCACGACGCCATAATGAATGTGGCGTGGCAACTATGTGATTTGGAACATCGGGAAATACATTTCTGCATTGAAACTGGACCTGTGTCTGTGTGATTATGTACATTGGAACATAATTATCCACCCAGCGACTTCAACAAAGCACCCACACCCGTCATCTCACGATCTTCTTCCGCCGGTGGCAACCCACCCTCCAACCTGGTGAGCAACGCATCGAGATCCGGGCGGGTACTGCGTACGGCTGGGTCTCTGAGGAGTTGGGCTGCGCGTTGACAGTCAGAGACCCAGCTGGCCGTATGACCGAAAACATGGCCGAACACTTTCTTGGTTGGAGCGATCTTTTTATTGGAAACGCTTTCGGGCCACGGATCGAGTGTTAGAACCTGCACCGCGGGGTCAGGGTGAAGGGGAAGATATTTGTCGACCACATCCGCGACGGTGAACACCCAACGAATGATCTTGAACTTGGGGTGGTTGCTCTTCTTCTTCGCCGCTCGCATGTCAACGGCGTCAGGGTGATGACCATGCATGGACATGAGTGTGGACAGGACGTATTCGTGCTTGGTGTCCCTGTCAGAAGCCGACCCACCCTGCGGGGAGGGAGACATGACTTGTGGTGTGGAATGGAGGGGATGCGCGTTGGCATGAGAAGGCGCGTCAACATGAGATGGCGGTGACTGCGGTAGAGTGTGTGGCGAAGAAAGGGAGACAAATTTTTGAGCAGGAGGAGGATCGGCATACAGTACGTCGTGTCGGGTGGGTGCGGTCGAGGGTACGGTCGTCGGGCCTGAGAGTGACTCGGCGAGAATATCCGTGGTGACTTCAGAGACGTCAGACACCGGGAGCGGAGGGCCGCCAGATAGGTCTTGAGACTTTTCGGCAATGCTCCCACCCACGACGACCATATCTGGTTGATCAACTGTGATGTGGTCATGGTGTAATATAGGTGACGCGCTGTCTTCGCCGCTATGCTAAGCTGCACAATGAGCGAGGAGGGACACAGAGAGTTGATATATACGTACATGAGACACAAGCACGGCAAGCCACGCACTAGAACTGCCCAGGACTACGGGAATAGGCGTTTCTGGTTCTACGACGGGATCTCGGTCCGGGTGACAGCGGAATAATGGGATGGAAAGAGCGGGAGAAGAAGGGTGATGCCAGATAGCTGCGCAATGAGCTGGGCCACAGACCGTCAGTAATTATCTGACGGAGGCACAATTCGTGAACACACTCACATTGGCGAAGATGAGGCATTGTAGCAAGTGTCCATTCCGTGAGCTCGGTGGATGAAACGACTGGCGCACCGAACGCATCAAGGGCCCGGGTTTTAAATACGGATGGACCGAAGTCGACGGGACTGGTGTCCCCTTGGATGTTATCGTGCTTGAAATGGACTCTGATAGGGCCAAGGTTGGGCGATTCGCAAGGGGCAGGGGGAAGGGTCAGTGCGGCGGCAGACGGAATAAGCACAGCATTTTCACAGGTTGGCTCGGATGATTCCTGGAAGCCCGAGGGAGATACCGAAGCATTGGCCTCGCGGGACGTTGCCTGTGAGCTTGGGGGAGAGCGAGGCGGTTTAGAGAGGTCGTCGATGGCGAGTGATTGTGGAATCGGGCGAACATTCAACAGCAACGGTGTGAATGGGGGCAAGAAGGGGAGCATGGGCTCGGGAATGCTTGTGCTTTGGAATGGGGGTGACTGAGTGATTGTGCATGCGTGCGGGTGTACCGGCGAAGGACATATCGGGGGATGATTCGTGACAGGAGCAGGGGTTACGGCTTGGTCAGGAATGACGAGGGAATCATGCTTGGCCGGTTGAAACTGTGACGGTAGACGGGTTGGGTGTGATGGTGTTTTCGGAACGGCATCCAATGCGATCTCGGGCGCTGCGCATAGAGGATGTGAATCACTGTGTTCCTGAGGATCGAGCGGTGGGGCGCTGGAACTGGACAGCGCTTGAGTGGGGATAGTGATTGGCGCGAGGTCTGACGCGCGTTGGGAAGAGTGTGCCGAGGATAATGAGGTACAGCATCAACACAAAATTTTGAAACGTACCAGGACCAGTAGCAGTAGAGGGTGTGGTAGAGATCTGGAGAACGTCCGAGAGCTGATGGGCGCACTCAGGCTGCGGAGCAAATGTTGAGGAACTGACAAGATGTACGAGATCCTGTCACTTACCTCTGGCGGATGGTTCACGATTCCCTCGCGAACCAATGGCAGGATCGTTCTTTCTACGTCGGAGAGCTCATTGATCATTGACTCGTGCTGCGCCTGATAAACTGCATCCCAATCTACCAAGATGGTGTTGTCGACGATGAAAGCCTTCGCAGAGCCGAGCGTGCTTTGAACCTTGAATTTCCGCTTGGCTGGGGGGCGGTTGGCCCGGATAATGTCCTAGGAGGTCAGTTGTACCAAGCGGCTGCCGAAGAGCTAAGCCTGTCCGAACCTGCAAATGTGGCAGCTCTAAATTGTCTCTGTAAAAACAGGACGATGAAGATCGCCCCGACACGATGAATAATGCAGGAACTTACAGATCACTGGAGACAATAGGCACTTTCATAGTTGAAGGTCTGTGGTGTGCAGGTGGGGGGGCACAGGGGATGGGGGAAGATGGCGAGAAGGGAACTCGTGTGAGGCGTGAGCACACGCCACTGTCAGAATTCAGGTACGGTCAAGAGAGATTATGGGCGCTAAAGAGAGATTGCGGCAAGTGGCAGTGCTTCGGCGCTTTGACGATCCGTCACGATCAACACTCCGAATCGAGATCTCCCCAGTGCGTCGGCAACCCCCGACCAAGCCTGGCGGCGGGAAGTTATGGCCACGTGCACGAACGTGGGGAGAGGAAGCTACGCTGTACGTCTGACGTTCCGCACAGTCTGCGACACACACTAAGTACAATAGGGCATATATGTAGCGGTTCACATCGCATTTTGGCGGTGTGAACTAAGTAAACCCATGATGGGTTCAACACTTCGCATTTTTGTCCCGTTGGAGCCTCGAAGCTCAGTTCACACTCAGTGCGATTTCGATGCGAGAGGGGCCTCCTCCGGCCTCCGCCCGACACACTTTGGCGGAAGGCCCACGTTCTGTAGCTCCCAAAAGAATGGCTGTATCAGAGGCCAACAGGAAGGGGGACGGGAATGAGAGCAGGAGTAGACCCGTCTCGAGGATCCAAACTCAATGTGAACTTCACAGGTAGGGCATGTCCGCATCGAGCAAGCAGAGGCCATAGACGTTTGTGCAAGTAGAAGCACAAGGAGTGTAGGTTTCGTGGGGGAACTGCTTGACTAGAGAAAGCTGGACCCGGGACGAGAGGACCTGCGATATGGCTTCCGACCAGAGCTTGGCTCACGCGATATGGCTTGGGAGAAAAGATCGGCAGATGTGATATGACATTGGAGCCAAGATCGTCGGATGCGATATGACTTCGGAACAGCAATCGGATGGCTGATGAAGTTCAATTTCCAATGCCTCCCACCGGGCCTGGCCGGAGATCGAGGCGGTGCGGGTTGAGCACCGATTTCAAATGCCTGCGACCAGGCCTGGTCGGGGATGGCCGGAGGCTGAACACGGCCGTCCAAAAATAGCAACCACGCAGTCCGGTTCGATGCGTCGATATTCGGATAGCCCGAGGTAGTATCGAGCGTTAGGATGATTTTCATTGATTTGTTTGAATATTAGGGACATTGAAAGCACGCCACACTTATCCTTCGAATCGGGAAACCAGTTTAGACCACAAGCCCTCATCCGTACGTCCATTAGCGACCAGATCGCGAAGAAAGTCGGGATCGCGCTTCTCGGTAGCGATTCTGAAATTGTAGTGACGATAATATGTCGATTTGGGCCAGCTCTTGGACGTGAATGAGAACACAGAGCTGAAACGCTCAGGGACTGTTCCGGTCAGGGTATCCATGCGGTCCATACATTCTATCATGTCACATGCATGAGTGCAAGGGAATAGGGGCTTGGTGGACGGTGTCTCGATATGGCTGGGGAGAATATGGTCAAACGGTGGGCAAGTATGGTCAGTAATGTTCGACGTACGGGGTCATGGCTGGTTTTGTGCGGGAGGTACCGGCATCCACTGGCAGACTGGGACACCAAGGGTGTTGTGAGCGAGTGACGGATGTTTACGGAACACCATTGAACTGACCTCATCTCGCCTTGCTGTTGTACGTGCTCAGGCATGGTGATTACACCGTGAGGGTTGGAGGTAGGAAGGGGTTGCGGAGTTGCTGGTACATCTGGAATCTGGGGGTCGTCTGTCGCGCGCGGTTCACCATCATGGTTTTTGAGGAGGGCGCTAGTGTGTGAGAAGAGCTGGATAAGGCAGGGGTTCGAGGAGCGGGAGTAGTGATACATACATGAACGCCTCGTTAGAGAGTGTTTCGGCCCGGGGGATCAAGTCAGCGTGGGTTTGACGAGTAGGAGTAACCGCAGATGATCCGGAGTTGAGGGTAGACACATTATGTGAGGAAGGGAAGCGGGACGTTTGAGGGTCGTTGGAAGACGCGCTGGAGGGCCGGAAGGGTGTAGACGAGGTACTTGAAGGGGATGTGGGGCTGAATGGAGATAGATCGTTGAGAAATCGAAGACATTCCAAGAAAACAATAGGAAATGCGTATGAACACGCACATTTCAGAAGAAACGGGAGTCGAACCAGCGAGAGAACCAGCTGGGGTCCATCGGGGACCCGGACGCGAAGGGGTGTAATCAAGACGAGTCGAATAGGCGGACTGAATGGAGGAGGTGCTGCTGGTACGGGACAGTTTTGATGGGCTACGACGGTCGGTGTGGAAAGAATCCGGTGCCTCGTAGCGACGTTTCTGTGGTGTGCATGGAAGAATGTAGTCCACAACCGGTGATTGAGGCAGTCCCGGGAGCGGCGGATATTCTGGAACGTCGAGGGCGTGAATATAGATTACAGGAACGTCGTCAATTTTGGTAGGCAGCCGATCTACGCGGACGGCCTGATCGGTTTCCTCCCACACTTGCGCAGATACATCGAAACGAGAGTATGATCTACCCCGGGCGTACGTAGTGAGACTGGGTATATCTTGCGGATGGAAATAGGGCCATGTGGGGCAGCCGAGTCGGAATTTTTTGGGGCCTTGAGCAGCCTTTGAAGACACCATCAGAGACGTTGACGAGCAAGAGAACGCAGTACGTACCTTAAGCCAGACGAACACCACGACGGGTTTCAATTCTTCAGCCTCGTACTCGGATTGCTTTTGACGATACTCCTTATTTTCTTGCGCGTAAAGGTCGGCTGCTTGAACGACCGACTGGATGGAGAGCGAAAGGTTGCGAGAAAATGTTATGCCGCCGCGCGTGGGTTGTTCTTGAAGTTCAGCGTCAACAGGGGCCGGGGTGGTTGTTCCCTTGAAGTGGTAAGAGCACCGCACACCGCCCAAGAAAATAGGACAGTGCGTGGTGCAGAAGCCGTGGGTGCAGCTCTTGAGGGCGTTGTTATAGCAGGTGAACGTACCCGCCGCATCCTGTAGCTTGCATCTGACCCTCGGAGCACTGGGCCGCTTTGAGTTGTCAGGCAGTTGATTCGACTCAATAATCAAGCCAGAGGCGGTTTGCAGGGGAGGAACAACGCGAGAGGAAGAGTCAGGTTGGAGGGGAGTGGGTTGGAGGACAGTGGGTTGGAGGGGAGTGGGCGGGAGGGGAGGTTGGAGGGGAGTGGGCGGAGGCTCGGGAGGCATGGAGGCAGGCAGATAAGAGAATGTGAGGCCTCAAGGAAAAAGGGGAGAGCGAAGAGAGAAAGCTCGTCGGACGAGATGGATGGAGCAACGCAGACGACTAACCCAAACAGGTCAACCAAAAAGCCAAACAATAATTTGAAAAACAGCATGACATTTACACCGCCGTCGAGGGCGGACGGTTTAGCCGACCCGTTACCGACACACCAGAGGGACACCGAACATAGGTGCAGTGCAGGACGGGCAGGACGATGGGGAAGATAGACGAAGGAGAAGAGCGAGCAAGATCCCTAAACAGCAACGGGGAAGTCTCATATGTGATCGTAGGCGCTTCAGGCGATATGGAAGATCGCCAACAGATCATAATGCCATGTGTTATGCCATCTAGGAACGGATCGGCGAGTGAACATGAGATATCGCATGGAGGCTGGCCCATGACGCAGGCCAAGGATATGTCATAAGTAAAGATGGGTCGGGCGATATGGCATATTGTGCCTGACATGACCCGGGCATATGGACAGTCCCGCGCGGGACAAAGCATATGACATATTAATAGTCCTATTAGTAATACTAGTCACATGATACTAGTAATAG